GTGCTGCTGAGTTGGGCGAACGTTCCAAAAGCTGCTATTCAATCGCTTGTTTTGTATGGAAAAAGGTTTCACATGCAAATGGATTTTAACAATTCAGAATTTTTGTGAGAAAAAATTAAAAATATTTGACATTTTCGAGACCAAATAATTTGAAAATAAATCAAATCAGCTGCTCTACTGATACTACCTGTTCAATGTACCTTGCTATGGCCTTATGCCTAAAGTATTGCTTCTTTTCAATGTTTGACTCTTCCGATACTTTACACAATTACGCGTTTACTTATGCTATCTATTTTTACGTAGCTTCTATCTGTGCCTGCCAATCATATACAACTCTTATGCCATCCTCAGCATAACACAAAACGCAAGCACGGCGATGACGTTGGGCTTGTCACGTTTTATAAAACAAAAAAAAAACAGGAAAATGCAAAAAACCACAAAAAATAATAATAATAATGACATTTAAAATTAAGTATAAATACCAGAGACCCAGAATATCAATTATTTAATGGTGGAGTTTTAAAAAAAGTCATCAAAATTTTCGTAAGAATTATAAAAGTCTTATGTTAATAATTATGTGTGAGAAATTTTTTTAAGTCATCGATAACTATTATTTTAAGACTTATATAATAGAAGTCTTTTTCATAATAAATATCAGCGAGAAAATTTTTTTTAAGTCTTCAAAGACTTTTATGTTGGCACTTATATTATAACAGTCTTATCATAATAATCTTATTATAATAATTATCATTGAGACAAACATTTTTAAGTCTTCAAAGACTTTTTGATAATAATTATTAGTGCGAAACAAAAATTGTATATAGTCCCGAATGGGTCTCAACCCAAGCCCCAACTGGTCCCAAACTGCTCCCCACAATACTGACTGTGACTTTGCACATCGAGTGATACGGTTCGATTCCCGCTGAAATCGAGAAAGATATCTGATAGGAAGATGGTGGTTATCTTCGAAATACACCCAGAAAAAATTCAGCTAAATATATTTCTCTCAGCACATGATTTGGTTATAGTTGCTTTATTTGGTTCTATTAATCACCAAATCATGTGTTGAGGAAATATTTTTAGCCGACTTTTTCTGAGTGTAGTGCCTATAATCCGTACGAAAATATTTTTAAATCTCTAGTTTTGATGAAGAAACTTATTTTTTTTATTGAGCCTTGAAATAATTTTTAATTTTGAAATATCTGGCAACACTATTTTCCAAAATTTTTTTTACCACATACGTACAGAAATAATGTGGATATGAAAACATAAAATAACAGATAGGTTTATCGGTTTTTAAAGCACAGTTAGTAACATTTTTAAGTTAAATAATAATATTCGATAAAAAATATGTATTTTTAACGATTTTATGGCAATGCTACAAAAAAAAAAAAAATTTTTCTCCATGTAAAATACATGGTGTCTCCTTATTTTTGATATTCTTCAGTTCTGGGGGGTGGTAGCAAAAAAGTTTATTTTTGTATGTATTTTTGGCCCAAGCCTGCAAATGGTAATGTTACAAACATTGTATTGCATTGCCATCGGGTTTTGAGCCAACTGTGAAGTTTCAAACCCCTAGGTCGTCGGGAAGTTGGTCAAAAATTGATTGCAAAATTTGTCCCAAACAAGCATATACATACATATGTATGTACATACAGAGCAAGTTAAATAAAAGCTTGTAAAAATAGTTTTTAATATTTAACCGATTTCACAAAATGGAGAAGGGTATTAGTTCGTCGGAATATTTTTTTTCTTTTTTTTTATGTATGTTACCGCATAACTTTGGACCACGTTAACCGATTTCTATAATTCTTCTTTTTTTAAGAAAGGAGGAGGATTGGATCATGCAGAAATTAACGATAACCTTAAATATTTGAAGTCGGTTTTGTTTTTTGCTTAAAAATTACTTGTTTTAATAACTGTTTGACTGATTCTCAAAAATTGTTAATAAAATTTTCTTCATCCGCTTTGCAATTTACCTTTACTGTCTGTTATGTGGTGTTTATTATTGTTGGCTGACTGTATTATATGTTTTGTCTTTTTTATTTTCGTTTGTCAGCATTTGCCTTTCCAGCCACTTTCGTCAGCTGTTTATCGTGACTGTGTTTAGTCAATCGATTCTGAGAGCGTGTATAGTTAATGTATGTATGGATGCACTTTGATGCATTTTTTCGTTATACATATGTACATACATACAAACATACATATGTGGTTGAGAACATTCGTGTGTTTCTGAAGTAAATATTGGTTGAATAAAATAGGTGTTTTTTGTCTCTGTAAACTTTGCGCATTTTTAAACAAAGAAAGCATAACTCAGAATTGGTTAGAATCTGTATGGTGGGTGAAATGCTATTTATGAAGTCTTCGAACTACAGGTAAAATAAAACAGCGTTGGAGATTGGATTTGGGAAAAGTACAAAACATATTGAATAAACCTATATTTTCTTTAGAACATGTTTGGATTATTACAGCGCAGTATCAAATAAGTATTTTAAATGTTTTCAATAACCACTGGGAAAAACTATTAATTCTTAATTTGCATATATACAAAAATATAATTAAAATAAAACCTGTTTGTACCATTATGTGAGCCGTTTATGTTGAGAGAGGCATGCGTCATTTCCACCTTTTGGCTTTAATGGTTGGTAACTGCTAACTGAAGTCAAACGGCATAGATCGCCTTATGCCGTTTTTAAAATAAACGGCTCATGTATTGTATTTTTAATTTATGCTCTTTGATTGGTATCTCTAGTATCATTTGCAGTTCAACAATTTTCACTTATCGTAACACATATTTTTTTGTTTTTCTTTCAGTATCACGTTTTTCCCAGCTAAAGCGATAACACAAGCAACAAAAGCAAAACCGAAGAAACACTACACACAATTAGTTGATGCTTCAATACAATAAACAAAAAAGGGAAATTAATATCCTTAGCAGCCATTCAGCGTATGTAAGTGTAGCGTACGTATTATTAGCAAAAACTTCAAAGACGAGCTTGCGAAATACATTGGAGGAACGTCTTCGGCTACGGATTATCAAGCGCAGAGACACTGGACAACGCTCATCGATCCTTCTCTGATCTCCTCACCACACACTGCCACGATATCAAGCACAGATAATTTAACATACCGTTCATTGTTGACGTCCGTCACCAACGCCATATGCAGCATAAACAACAGCAACGGAACTACCATTTCAGCACGGTGAGATTCACCTATTTTACCACGTTTATATCATTTCCGATTCTTGTTTGTTTGTCCAGATATTATAAACGAATATTTTCGCTGGTCTTCGTTCGCACTCACCTTATTTAAAACTCACACGCAGTTTCGCTCAAAGGAAATACCTTAGTTCAATTTCGCTCTGTTTATTTATTTGGCTTTTCAATAGATTCTGAGATCACATGTACAAAGTTTATTTAGTAGCTATATTCGTTACTAACTTCTTTCATCAGGACGTATGCGCACGTGTGTCAAGTTAACACTACATACTAAATTTTTTTTTCGAAAAAGGGTCAACTCAATTTTTTTCAGAAAAACGAAAGCTACAAATTTTTTCTTTTCACAACAAATTTTAAAGTTAAAAGCTACAATTAATGGCATAGTAACATATTGGATATCTCAATTCTATCGACTAGGTGTATGGTGTCAAGTTAGCACT